GCTGCACAGGCAGAGATCATCTGCAAAACTCTCTTCCTCTGAGAGATGGCGGAGGGGGATGTTAATCAAAGCTGGCTGGTGGAGAAACAGCGGATCCACTGGTCTGATACTCAGGGCCCAGACTGATAGAGGATAAGGACACACACTTGCAGGCATGTACACACAAACCTGCAGCCATGCCCTGGCACACACCTACCTAATGCCTCACAACTGTTTCCAATCTAAAGATTCCTGGATGTCTGCGTTCTGTAGTCTTTGATTGCACGACACTGGATACTAGATCCTCCAGCAAGGACACCGCTTGGGGGGCGAAAAGGGGAGCTTTAATTTTTTTTGCCCCCACAGAAAATTGCCCGAGTTCAAAAGGACTTCCTATACCTGCTCTGGCCCCACCAGACCTCCTGCTATCCCGCTCAGAGTTAATTCAATGCGTAAGGATGTACTGGGTAAACACGATTTAGAAAAGAAAAGCTCAATCACTTCTACACATCTCTAAAGTGAGCGTTTTCTACATGAGACAAAACCACAGCAAAAAGCAAGCAATCTGGTACTTCCCATTACATTCTTACATTTGTATTATTTCAACCGAAATTCTGACTATTCCAGCTGCAGAGACAATGTAACTTTAAATCTCATTCCCTAAAAGAACATCAAATTAACACGCTAATGAGGGACCTGGGATCTAAGACACTTTTCTGATTGCTAAACCCACTCTAAAAGAGCAGCACAGCTAAAGGAAAATATTAGCATTTGCACTTTTTAATAATGCCTTCACTGGTTTATGCTCTGGTCTGCAATTCACAGGAAAACCAATACGAAAGTACCTGGCAGCAAGTTCTTAGACTTGTGATTCTGACACCGAAGAAGGAAATGGAAAACATTACAGGACAGAAGCCATTTGGTAGGTATAGTGTGTAAGAGATTAAGTCTTTCACGACCTTACTAAACAAAATCTGTGTATATTGACAGCCAGTCTCATAATTACATCTTCATTTCAGGATGAAACTGCAGTGCCTTTGTTAGGGAAAACTTTGTACAGTGTTGAATCTTTTGAGAAGGTTATCTATATGTTGGTTGGACTGAAATGCAGCTCAATGAAAAACCAGTAGTCAACTAGTTCAACTTAGTTTTGATTACTTAAAAATTGTACAATGATTTCTAGCAAAACAATTATGTGAAATGGGGAAGATATTGCAAAATAAAATGAAAACTGTTTTTCAAATGTGGTTTAAAAAGGATAGAGCACCCGAGTGAATCCGAGTAAAACTAATATGGTTTTAACATTGATCCACACGATACCGGGGAAAGTTCTGCAGAACAAAAGAGTTTTCAGTTTTTTTTAACAAAAACAAAATAATTGGCAAGCCATTAAAAAATTTCAATTTAATCTTTACCACCAATCCAGCTGTAATGAGGGCTGCACATTTAGGGTTGAATTTAAATATTTAATGCAACTATTTAAAAACTTTTTCCTAAGCAGGTAATTTTTTTTGCTATAACTGTGACATGACAATGCTCAATGAACTATATCTGATAAATGTTTTTTTCACATTCTCAGTCTTGTACATCACAGATTTGAACAACCTGTAGTATTAGTGTTGTGAAAGTACAATCAGTCAAGTTGTGAGATGTAAATATATTTAGTAAAATCTGACAACCAAGTGGCAAAAGCTTGTCTAAAGATACAGCAAACATCTGTATGCTAGATACTTATTATTAGTCTTAGCATATGAATTTCTATATAATTTTGCCAGGGTGTGCCCCCTGAAAACGTAAACAACATATAGAGACCAGTTGGAGGCATTTTTGTGTTTGTGTAGAAGATGTTTTTTAAAACTTCAAAAACTGTTTCAAAATGTTTGGTGAACATTTCTTAAGTTTTTAGCTTTGGAAAACGCAGAACAGGAATAAAGGAGATTGCTTAAATCTGCTCCCTAATACAATACAAAAAGAAGCATAGACCAAATGACCTGATTTTATCCGAGATTAAAATTCAGTTTTGCAGTGTGTGATGTGAAGCAGTCTGTAATTTTTCTAAGCAGCTGTGTCTATTGCAGCATATGGCAATAGGTGCCCAATTATTTATTCTTCACTCTGGAAAAAATGAGTCACGAGCTAAACTATCAACATTTCTGTTGTGTCTAATGCACATTAAACCTGTGTGACATTAACATCACAGCCTGTTTTAGTCACAACTAATACATTCTAGCATAACTGCTTGATCTAAGTTACATATTAACTAGGGAGACACAAACTCTTGCTGAATCGATCAGAACCTGTATTGGATCAACATGGTGCAATGGTGGGGTCAATTTTCTTTTGATTTAACCATCACATGTCTCATCAAAGAACAACAAAGAACATCAGAATAGTTACACATGAAAGGAGGCCATTCAAGCCCATCTGGCCCATTTGGTAGTTAGTAGCTTATTGATTAGAGGATTCCAGCTGCACTTGGCTTGGAAGAAACCAGGGTATCGGCTTCAACCACATGGCTGGCGAGCTTGTTCCATACTCCCACAACTCTTTAGATAAAGAAGCACCTCCTGTTCTCAGTTTTAAACACCCTTGCAACTTTCAATTTAATGCATCTAGACGTAAAAAAAATAATTTCAGATATTATATCTTTTGCGGAAAAAGAGAGACTTTATTCAACAACGCATGTGTGTGGACCAAACAGCACCATATTGCGCACGGCCTGCCCTGCACAGATAGGCACAGAATTCCTTAAGCATCTTTTAAACATCCTTCCAAGAAAGGTATTTCTATAGTCTACAATAAATAGAAAAAGAGATGTCAATACAATCTGCTGTGTGATATCAATGGTCAATACGATCTGAGCCGCAGCAGAGATGGGCAATGTATAACTTACATTACAGGGAGAAATTAGTAAGTTAAAGACAGTGCCAAAGTGTACAATACAAAAAGTATTTGCATAATTTCTTTTGTAACTTATAATTTATCAAGAATATTGCCAAAAAAAAATGGTACTCAAACTATCACCTGGATATTTTAAGAGAGGTAGAAAATAACATTTTTAAAATAAATATGGGAAAATACAAAGACCAAATAAAAGAGGAAACTACAGAAACATTTGGAAATCTACTTGAGAATATTTCTGAGATTTCAAAAATATCCCCATGATCTAAAGAAATATATCAGTTTTTGGGATGTGGAAACTAACGTTCAGAAATAAAAACAGTGTAACTGCCCAGGAAAGCCACAGGATCTCTGTGGAATAGAAAAGCAAGAATAGAACAGAGATGCATCTTAGAATGTGAAAAATAGAGAACGCTGTGCTTGAGAAACTACAGAATTAACTCCCTCCACAGCCACAGTGGTGTCTCAGTACTAACAGTCTGCACAGAACTCCGCTCGGATTTTAACTAAAAGTAAAACACACGAGCATATGTCGCTTGTTTTAGGTTCCTTGCGCTGGCTCCCTGTAGAATATTTTTGTAGATTCAAAACACCGCTGCTCACCTTTAAGGGTTCGAATGGTTTGGCTTCTGACTACATCATTGCACAGCTAACCCCCTACATACTTATAAATCTTCTTTCAGTTCCAAAGGCTCAAAAGAATAGGAGACCAGGCTGGATTAAATTGATTACTGTAGTTCCTAGTAAAAAGTACACTGATTCTACTGCACTGCTAAGAAAATGATCAGTTTTTAATGTAGCTAAAATCTATTACATTAGAAGCAAAAAAGAAAAGTTAATTCAGATTGAAAAACAACTATGTGAAACAAATACAAAACGGATCCTTCTTTTATTAAATGTATTATTTGACTGTGTGGTTACAAATGACTTCATGCCAGTACATTTACTAGAATCAAACCAATCGGTGCACTTTTTTCATCTAATAAATACTGGTTTTACATGGTCTGCTTAACCAAACATACGTCAAATTGTCAGAGATGTGCCAAATATCATAAGAAACAGATTTTGTTTCCAAGGCATTGCATATGCCCTAGAAATAACACTAACTGCCAAGAAGTACATTATGGTTTGCAACGTTAAAAAGTCCTTTTTTGTTGCTGAAATCCTAGGACATGAAACTGCATACGATGTGCCTTTGAGACTTCACAGTGTGTTCTGGGACCATTGTAAAGTTCTAATATGTTTCTTGTGCTCAGAAGCATGCAACAAAAGAGCTAGATTTTGGAGCAGTGCAAGTCCTGTCCCCCTTAGGTTACTGGTCAGCACAGAAAAGCTCCATGACCCATGCAATCTGGCCTGTTTGGCAACACATCTTCAAATGCCAGGAGCAGTGCCAGCCAAGATAAGAGATGTTCCAGGAGCATCTGCAAGATATACACTAATAATACATTTCTACTGAACTCTACATCATGGGTGAAAACGACATGTGCAACCAGGTAGAGTTCTCTTTCTTAATTGCTGATCTGATTTTGCACTTACAGTGTTGGGCATGACTAGTTAATAATTTCATTCTGAAAGTAAACTGGAATGCATGTATACTGGAAACATGAAATCAAAGCGATGTATAAGGAATAGTGGTCCTTCGTGAAACCTGGCATCCTTCTGAACCTGACTTGACAAAATTAAAAAAGTGAAATATGTCACCTACAGTACAAAACTAGAACAAAAGTTCTGTAAGAAACTAGGCTGTTAACATTCTTTAACGATTCTGTTCTTCCACCAACGGTAAAGTAAGCACTGTTGCCTGATTCAATTAAGAAAAATAAAATGTCAAATAAAATTGATAAATTGGAACAAAAAAGTTGGTCCAGCCTCTTGGATCCAACAACAGATTGCTTTATGTCACTGTGCACCTGCTCACAAATCATACCTGTCCATGGCTAAGAGTCAAATTCACCCTGCAAATCTCAGCAACCAGGTTTTTGTTTTTTAAATCACACCTTTCTACACACAGGTTTTGCTGTCGTTTCAAAAAAGAGAAATACAGGAGAAAAAGAAAGAGAGGAAAGCAGGTGTCTCAGAATGTGGGGGTCGAAAGAACAGAGGTACATGTGGGGTACCTGGTGCGGAGTGGACTAGTGGGTGGCGGACATTGACCAAGCTCCCTCCATCCTCCACACGGAGAAGGCATAGCTGAGCCGCTCGTGGGCCAGGTAGTTGCAGCTGGCCAGCTTGCTGTCCATCTCATCGCTCTGCAGCACCTGGTAGAGGAAGTCAATGTAGCGGGAGGCCAGCTTCAGGATCTGGATCTTGCTGAGCTTGTCCGAGGGCAGGGTGGGGATGATCTTGCGCAGCGAGGCGAAGGCGTCATTCAGCGACTGGGTGCGCTGGCGCTCGCGCACGTTGGCAATCACGCGCTGGGTGTGCAGGTCCTCGAAGGACTGGCCCGGGACCAGTGGGCTCTTTTTAGGGCGCTTAGGCCCAGAAGGGACCAAACTCTGGGGGCTCCCCGCTCCCCTCTCTTCAGTCTCCTTCTTGGCGTACGGCACCCGTTTCCTGCTGCCACACTTCTTCTGGATGCGATCCAGCTCCTCTTCGCTGGTCGTTGGCCCGCCCTCGGGGGAATCAGGGCAAGACAGCTCCTCTCTCATGGTCGTATTAACCTCTGCTCCCTTTATATAGGCACGGCACTAGCAAACAGAATGCTTAAAAAGAGTTCTCAGATGATAAACAGGAAAACACAGCTAGAAAATCCATGCATCACTTATACAAAAGGTCGATTTTCCCTATGATTATTTCTCCCTTTTTTCCAATCTCCCATCTCACACAGCTGGATATAACTTCCACAGCCTCTGGACCCCTATTGCCCAAATCATGAGCTCTTATTAGGCAAGAGGGCAGGGCTTCAGCATCAGTTTATCTCTGCACGCCCATTGGCTAAGCCCTGGTGAGAGGCGTGGTCATCCTAGGAGCAGGGAGGGTGAGGGGAGGGGAAGGATGCTGGAGAGATGGCCAATCAGTGAGACCGGAGCTGAAGTTTTTACAGAAGTTGACTGAACTTTATAGGTTCCAGATTTATCCTGTCACCCACCCCCACCCCAACCATCTCCACCAACGACTTTGCTTAGGGGAAAAAAAAAATAGTTTTGGAAGTTTTAAAAAAGACGTTTTGAAGTAGGTTCCCCTTTTCTCTGGGTGATTAACCCCCTCGAGCCTTTGCTCACTGAAGTTACAGCCATGCCATTTTTTCCACTTCGCCCGAACAGGAAGCCCTGAGGTTTGTGAACATAGCCTTGTTTTTTAGACATCAGCAATGGGACCTTCACCACTCTTCTTCCTTTCAAAAGACCCCAGGAAAGAAGAGTTAACCACAGGGAAAGCACAGAAAGGCACTGACAGGGAACAGGCAGGAATTGCCCAGTGAAGACAGATGGAGAGGATACAGAGCCACAACAAGCCAGTGTCTGAGCACACATTGGACAGGGGGAGAACGAAATAGCAATGTCCCGAATGACAGCAGAGCAAAAGAGCAAAAGGATGGCAGCTGCAGAGTAGGACTGATAAGATCACAAAAAGGAGGCATGTATTTACTCAAAGAGTTGTGGGAGTGTAGAACAAGCTACCCAGCTATGTTGTCAAAGCCACTATTTTGATAAGATACCTTTTGATAAGATAAGATCACTTTATTGGCCATATAAAATTTCTTCAGTTAGGAATTTGTCTTTTCGCAGACCCCAGCTTGCTCTCCACGAGACACGCAGACGGGGAGAGAAGCTTGGGGTCAGAGCGCAGGGTCAGCCATCGTACAGCGCCCCTGGACCAGTTGGGGTTAAGGGCCTTGCTCAGGGGCCCAAGGGAGTAGGGTTCCTCTGCCAGCTGCGGGATATGAACCAGCAACCTTCCAGCCACAAGCGCAGATCCTTAGCCACAGAGATAAGATCCTTGGCTAAATAAAGTACTAACAACCCAGCAGGCTAGATTGGTGCAATGGCTTCCTTTAATTTTTAATAATATATTCTTACAACTAAAAATACACTAGACATTGGTTAAAAGGGAAAAATGCTAAGTTCTTTTGTTCTTATACATTAAAGAAAAATCACAAATGGGACAAGTTTTAAGACTTCCCAAAAGAAATATCCTAGTAACAACCCAGAGAACTTTCCAACAGTCAATACTAAATAATAGATGATGGGGAGCTTAGAGATCAGTCTCACCCTTTTATTTGACATTTCATTATTAAATAAGTAGCTGTTTCATAGCAGTATAACAGTATTCAAACACTGAACACTTAAGTTTGGCCTGATACTCTTGACATTGTAACTAACAATTTGGAGTCAAAACAGAATGAGTACGTCCCCACCCAAAGGAAAGTGATTTAATTGCTTATGATTTTTGAATAAAGTTCCTCAGGGTGCCAAAGGGTAATCTGTATGGTACACAGACATAAGATGGGATATGCGGCATATAAGTATGTATGGAACCCAATGCTAACTAATACAGCTAAAATGTCAAAGATGCAATCAATAAATGTCCAAAGGAAGAGACTTACAGGTGCCAGATTCAAGGCACAGCTCTGCTCAAACAACTCTTACAGACATGCAGCACAACTCCACCTGGGAGACTCCCTGCCCCTCACCCAGAGAGGTGAGAGAGCTACTCATCGTGCCATCCATGTCCCACAGTGCTGAAGGCTCATCTGCCCCTTCCTTTGGTGAAGGCAAACATGACAACTGAAGAAAGCAGTAATTTAGAGCCTCATGGAAAGGTCTGGGACGAGATTGTGCTGAAATAAAAACAGCAGCCAACCTGCCGCTGCATGGGACACAGAGCTCAGATTTTACAAGATGAATGCATTCAAATCTAGGGATGATTTTTTTTAGAATTATATCACTTTTATAAAAAACTGAAAGACTGTACAGACCCGCGTGCTGCATGCAACAGCTTTTTCCATATATGTTTCTTATGTTTCCTATAGTTCTAGTGCTCAGTTCTGGACAAGGAAACTGCCTATTCAGAGAATCAGCCATGTTTAAGGGCAACGTTACCTGTGTATTTTTCTAAAAAACAAATTAGCTTTGAAAACATGCAATATCATGGCTGAAGAAAAACTACCAAAAATAGTTGGCATTTTAAAACAGAAATCACAAGATGAGTGCCGACTGTGCAGAATGTGTACTGCCTCAGCGAATGCAGTTCCTAAACTAAGCACTGGCACTTTCTCACTCACAGTGCCAGCCAGAGCACAATGGACACACCAGCCTATTACTTAGTAGAAACTCGCTTGACTCCAGTTCTTGAAAGCAATCTTTCAGAAAGGGACTGAGGCTAGAATATAATATTTTATACAGGATATGAAAACATATGGAATATGACAACCAAGTATTATTACTGAAACAATTTTGCACAGTATTAACTTCTGATTTTGAAAGCTCAAGGATGGATCTTGCTAAGTTCTAGAAAAACGTCCGGAAGAGGGCTGCTTGCTCTTTCTGCTTAATCTAAATTTCCTCTTTTTTTCTCTTGCAAAGAAAGTACAGGTCAAGTCCAGAAAATGACAGAACCCCAAAAAAGTAGATACTGACTACCTTAATACAATCTAAATGTGGCAGGACTCAAACTGTCCAATATCTCTGTTATGGCGATGCGTTAAGAGTTTTCATTGTCATCAGGGGAACAGTCATTAGGTGTAGACGGCTTGGCGTTCATTCAGGCTGCCTGGTACGCATGCACTGAGCTTTTCCTGAAGGTCGAAGTAGTACAGGTGGGTAGCTGTGTCAGCATGACTAGGCTGCAGAGGAACAAGTAAGGGTTTATTCCATGCTGAAAAGAGAAAAGGGAAAACACAACGTTTCGGCTGTGGAGCCTTCTTCGGGTGTGTCAAACTTTTGTGCAATATTAGCAGGGCAGGAGCGACTATACTGGAGTGTTCTGCTAATCTACTTGAAGCAGTTACAGGCTGGAGTAATATTTTACTTGTCATGCTTCGGTTTGGATCCTAACCCCTTTCCTGGATAACATTTTGGTGTGGGTGTGGCAGTGGAATCTGTTCAAATATCTCAGTCTCAAATACCTTTGCTGCTCCGCCATAGCAACAAAGCTTCTAGCCAAGGCCTAGATCAACCTCGACACATTTACAAGCCTCTCCCTAGTACTAAAACCATAAGAGCCAAGGCAGAAGTCACCAACTTAAGATAAAAAACATTTAGCAAATAAGCAAATTTCTGGGGCCACTTTTGCCCTAGCACCTCATTGTCTGGTGTGAACATGACATTAATTGTGAAGAACTGCCTCACATTCCTGCACAAGAAACCCTTTGTCAACAAAACCATAGTAGACAGAAAGACTTCTTGTGGTCTGGCTTTCCCAATTCAAATGTCCGACTGAGAGCAGTGGAGTGTGCATTTTTCAGTACAAACATGTCACACTATGTGGGACATAGTAACTAAGCTCTTCTAATCTGGGGTCACCTTTTGTCAATCAACCTAGCCCTTTGCTGTGACCCTTTATGCATATACACCATACTGTATGTCAATTAAACACACACTATAATTTTGTATTAAACAAGGGGATAAATAAGGGAGTGCCTTATTAAGGGAGTCTCAATATATCCTGTGTGTGCTGTGCAAATCTGGTGGTTGATTGCCTCCGATTTCCAGCCTGGCCTAGCCCACATTATTTTTGGCTCGGTTCTGCCCATTGCCGAGGTGGGGAAAAGGCAACAGATCAGCATAGCTGAGGCAGAACAAGGAACCACAGGGCTGGCCAGCCAGAACCATGCTACCCTAACAGCTACACCGACTGCCATTACAATGGAAAACTGCAGACTTATCATCTGTGCTAACACAGATGTGTCATGATGACAAAACAAGTACCCACACATAATCTTCTGCGCAACAAAAGAGATGCATGCATACCTCGTATTGTGTAAAGGTTTGATGCCCTTCAGGATTTATCTCAGCTACAGATTCAGGTGCCAGTATGTCAAGACTATTAACTTACTATTTTGAAGTCCGCACAGAAAGATGTTAAAACAAGTTAACTTTGGTACAGCTCAAGAGCATGCAAGAGCATGAAACTTGCACAGCTGTGAACAGATCTCTGAGATGTGCAGGGGTGATTATTTCATGCTCTTCTTCAGTGTTTCCTAGACTCTAGATAACAACGCATGCAAGACAGCTCTGCATGCTCTGGTTTACAATGACGATCACATCCCCTTACCTGCTTATGACCAAAGAGGGTGTGAGGCTCAGGAGTGTGGAGATTGTGTTAAAACAAACCCTGGTACTTTCTCTCTTCTCTCCCTTGCACCTTTTATACCTAACAGCACACAATCTGTACATTAAATAATCACCAACACTCTTCCAGAATGTATTTAAACAGATCTGGCTAATTTCGTTGGTTTCAACTGTACATTTACCTAAAAGTAAGAGTCTTCTCTATTTTTAGTTTGTTTTTTTTAAATGGACCTTTCAAAATTAATATGTCTATTGCATCTCAGTAGTGATGATGGCTTCTGCAGTGCCCTGTATGAACACATATATAATTGATTTTCAGGGAGAACCGCACTGCGGCCCACTGGGAACCCAGTGTTGAAAGAGGCCCAGAGACGCTGTACTCCTGTATTGTGCAGAAAAGGGCCTCCTGTTCTTTGAACTGCACTGCACGCTCAACCTAGGGCCCAGTCTAAATATTTCCATCAGCCGGAACCCTGTGGAATGTACTTGCATGTGGCTGTTATATATATACAGTATGCACACACACAAGGATTGGACCTCTTTCAATGTCTCTTCAGCTCAGCTGCATAAGCAATGAGTTAAAGCCCATAATCTCTTCCATAAGAGAGATGAAGGAAGAGCACCATGCAATGACATCAAGGCCTGAGGAGAAACGG